GCCAGGCTTTGGAGGATGACGAAGTAGGCCAGGGCGGCTTCGCCGGCTTCGCCCATGTTTCATCCGTCTGGTGGCGACCAACCTGTGCGAGCTTGAACAGAAGACAAACAACAATTAATCAGGTTTGCCAACCTGCAATTCGCTGATTGCTAACTTTGCATGCGCCAACATCTGCTTTTTGAGGAGATGACACGCTCACATCGGTCTGGCGCTGAGATCCGGTGATTCTTCTCGCGGACAACAAACCGTTTCCGCTGAGAAAACCGTCGAGCGGGTGCATGAACGGTGAGGATTCCGCCTGCCTGGCATCGCTTCTAGCCTCAGTCCCAGTTGTTTGTATTCTTTGTATTTCTTTGTACCTAGCATCAGTCTGCGCTTTCTCTTGCCTTTCATAATGCATGTCATCAGTCTGTGCGTGTTTCTCGTGTAAGAGAAAGTGTAGCAGTGTAGCACGATCGAAAGATGTATGCTGGGTTGAATCGTCGGAGCCATCGAAGCAAACGGTTTGGGATTTCCCTGTGGGTTTGCCACAGATCGACGCGATCGACTTTCTCACTTTGGCACAGTTCATAGGTGATGTCCGACATTTTGGGAGCAGACCTTGAACCAGGAACTCCTCGAAAACGCCAGGCCAATTACTGGTGCATCTTCCTTTTCTCAAGAATCAACAACTCTGGGAGGCCTACGAACTGTCTGGTGGGACGGTCTCCGCATTCCAGCGCATGCCCGGGCCCCGTTGGCAGAAAATCGGCCACCGCCCGGCCACTGCCACCACGCCGGTGGTCACCCGCGCCGATCGTCCTAGGAGTGAGAGGAAGACCAACGTGATTTGTGAGGCGCCGGGGCGGCGTCCGTGCAGCACGTCCGTGGCGTCCGGGCAGCACACGGCCCGCTGGCCTCAGGTCCTGGACCCTCGCACGGAGCGAGTGGTGGCGCGCAACCCGAACTTGCAGGAGTTCTTCTTCTTCCGAAGCAAGGTGGACGTGTCGTGTGGACACGGGTATGGTCCGGTGGACTCATCCTTCAAGGATTGAGTGTGCAGTGTGCAGGCCTTGGAAACGGGCCTTTTCATGATGGCGATGTCTGAGCCCACTGTGTCCAATCCCTACATTGGTAAAAGTGGTACTGATTCCGATATTGGGTGTGTATTGGAATAGGGAGACTGCGCCATTGGGGATCCGCTAGAGGACAAAGGACTACTATATAAATCCCAGTGGTTGCAGGGTCTTCCTATTCAAACACACACACACACACACACCCACAATACAGGTTCCGACCAACCGTAATTTGATGCCATTGCCATCTAAAGGTTGGTGAGTTTGACCTCCCAGAACAGTTCGAGGTTCCACGCGCTGCTCAAGCTCATGTCTCCAGATTTTCCATCGCTGCAGGTGCGTGGGTTTTTTTGCTGGGTCTTGTTCCTGACCTTGTCAAGCCAATTGTTTTTGTATGCTTTTGTGCTTTCAGTGAGTGGCCAGGCCAAGAAGGTCTGGCGATTTTGGGAAGACAAAGATACAGGTCCCGGTCAATCTGGTTCTCTTTGAAGATGCAGCGAAATCCATCTTTCCAAAAGGAAGAAATGATCTTTCCTAAGAGGTGCAGCCTGTGCATCTTCTCCAGCCAAGAGTCCCTCCTACTTGGGAGAGAAGAGCTGGAATGAGCTGAGCGCACTGAGCTCAGCAGCGATCGCCACCAAACTTCTGCTGTATTTCTCATGTGCTTCTATGAATCAAGGCCTTGTTGTCTTCAAAGTCCAACTCTTTTCCAAAAGAACACATGACTCACATGACCTTTTGCTCCATTCAGGTTTGACATTTGGTGAGTGTCCCCGGCGTCCCTCTGTTCATTTCGAAGGGGAACCCCCCGGTGCCATCCCCCGTGGTTCCGCCATGGGCACCCAGGAGGCGGTCCGCCGGCAACGCGGTCTGCTGGTGGGATGGAAGCGCCGCCACGAGGCGGAGACCGGCAGACCATGCTGGCGGTAGTCACTTTCAATGCTTTTTGGTTTGGCAAGAGATTGGCAGGGGGGGTGCCGGAGTTGTTTTGATGTGTTTTTTTTCTTTTTTGCGTAGCCGAACCGCTGATCCGAACTGCGATTTGGAGGTGTGCCGAATCAAGCCACCCATCAGCCAGGCGAAGCTTCTTTGAGTAGGTGCTTTTGGAAGTGAAGAGAGATGCTGCTGTGAGGACAAGCCAGAAAGATGGTACAGTAATGACACACTGATGGTGGCGGCCTCAGAAAGGCTCGAGAACCATGTTGGATACGTGGACCTTGATTCTTTGGCAGCAGACTATGCGGTTCTTTGCATGTGCAGCTGCTAAGGTGATTCTTCCAAAGGAGGAGAGTCGGGCTTTGAGCTGACGTTTCACTCGATCCGAGATCCAAAGCGGTCTGCAAAAGTAGCAGCTGCGAGACGGAGGACGTCTTTTTGCCCAGCAGAGCTGGGCATGTTAACTGTTAGCCGCATGCACGAGACAGACAACATGTCGATACCAGTCACATGTTTATTCACCTTTGAAAACATGGATGTTCCAATCTAATATATATATATATAGAGGAAAAGGAATGAAGCTTGCAAGATCAAGGCACCAAGAAAGTTTGAAGTAGCTTACCTGCTCTGACAGAATTGCGAAAACATATCCACAAAACATTGCGGAACATGTCCTCTTGCTGCAAAATACATGTTTTCGACCACTTGCAAATAGCCTGCAAGATCCTGCTGAACCTTGACTCCCAAAGTCTTACATTAGACAACACTTCGCAAGGGCTATGTCTCAATTCTTCACCAAAAACAAGACCTCATTCACTACGTATTTTTGTCCAGTTTCCGTATTGTTTCTTCCCAATTTCAGCACCTTGTAGCAATGGCACCCATTGTTTACCCTTGCAAAGGGTTTCCCTTGGACACGGGCAATGCTGAGCTGGATGTTCCAGATCCGGAGCTGACTGGCTGCACTCCTCTATGTCTGGTGGTGATCCTTGTCAGCTTCCTTGTCATGCTTCTGCTCGTGTGCATAACGGGTGGATGGCTTCGCCTGGCTTGGTTGAGGTCTCACTTGAAGGCCTCTACTGTGGCGCACGACTACGAAGTCCTGCACACTGCCAGCGCCTCCTTCCTGAAGTATGGCCCGTGGTGCCGGAAGGCCCACCGTTTGATCGCAGAGCGAAAGGAGAAAATCAACCAGGAATCCCAGGGCCTGGGGATCTCCCTGCACTTTGTCTTGGAGGAACTAGGAAGTTTGTATGCCCAAAAGGCGCAAGAGGTGGAGTGGCGCTTGAATAACTTCGGCCCCGTGACCAGAGTTGCGATGAGCGTGTTGTTGCGACACCGCCAAGCCAGTCTAATGGAAGACTTTGATGCAATTTGGGATGGCATGCCGGCTACCGCCCCACCTGAAGATCCGAATTTTCACCAGTTGGCTGGCTTGCTTGCCTACGGTCCGCATGCATTGGGAAAGGGCCACATGTGTCCACGTGATGGAAGAATGGATTGTAGCATTGTAGATGTATTGTGGAAAGAAGGAAAGAGTGCCCCTGCCACCTGGTTCCTGTCCTACGTTTGGGGGTACGCTCTCAGCAGTGTTTTCAAAGCGCTGTCCAGATGGTTCACCAGGCACCGGATAGTGACGGAGGTTTCATCTAAAGAGGTCTTTATATGGTGGTGTGTTTTCGTCAACAATCAGTTCAGGATCCTGCAGGATGGTGAAATGCATGAAAGTCAGGACCTTTTCAACGTTTTCACGAGACTGTTGCAAAGAGTGGGCAAGGTGCTTATGTGCATGGACAGCTTTCGTGGCACGTACACCACCCGCATTTGGTGTGTTTTTGAAGTCTTTTGTGCACTTCGTGCGGACGTTCCAATCACCTTGATCGTGCCTGAAGTTGATGCCGATTTTTGTGGCACTGTCACCACTGTCAAAGACCTTTGCCAGATTTCTATGGTTGATTGTGCAAGTGCCTCTGCTTCCAACCCAGCAGACGCGGACGCCATCAAGGATCACATAAAGAGGTGCCATGCCTCATTCGAGCATGTCAACCAGGCAGTAGAACGTTGCGTTCAAGCTGAGCTTCTTTCATACCTTTCACAAGTCAATACAATTGCTGTATCATCCCCATATGATGAGCTCGAAGCACGGAGATACATTTCTGAGGATCTTGGGGTGTCTTTGAGTTTTGTGGCAGGTGAGCTACAAAGTCTGTATCACCGAAAAGCACAAGAAACAGAATGGCGGTCCCATGGCAATTGCAAAGTCACCCAGTCTGGCTTCAATGTGAAAATCCGGGACTGTGCTGATGTGGAGTCTGGTGCCTGTCTTTGGGATGACTTGGAGGTTTGCAAGCCACCTGAAAATCCAAATTTTCACCAATTGGCTGGCTTACTGGCTTATGGTCCACATGCATTGGGAAAGGGTCACATTTGTCCACGTGATGGAAAAGTGGATTGCAGCCTTGTAGATGTATTGTGGAAAGAAGGAAAGAGTGACCGTGCCAACTGGTTTCTCTCGTGGGCGTGGACCTATTTCCTAAATGATGTTTGTCACGCTCTGGCCAGGTGGTGGGACAGAGAATCAAGGCGGACCCATTTTGGGAGGTGTGCTCCCATGACCTCAGTGTATGTTTGGTGGTGTTTTTTTGTGAACAACCAGTTTAGGATGCTGCAAGATGGTGAAACAGTGGACACTGACTCCCTCTTGGAAGTTTTTGCCAAGCCGTTAGCAAGAGCAAACAAAGTGCTGATGTGCGTGGACAAGTTCCAAAACAGCACTTACAATGACAGAATTGATGCGGCTGTTCAGGCCGTTGCGCAGCCCTGTGCCGATTCTTTGAGTGCTTGGGCTCGTCGAGTCGATGATGCTATGGCTTGGAGTAGTTTTGCTATTGCAAGACAGAAACAAGCTCTGCTTGATTTGCGTAGGCATGTCGAGTCATCAGCTCTCAGCTGACCTTATGTGCTTGGTGTTTCCTTTTATTTAATTTCTGCCTTGTCGGAAACGGGAAGATGTCATCAATGGACTGCACGCCGTGCAGCAGGGTTGGTGGCGAAGCTGTTTGCTTCGAACACTTTTGCGCTTTGGCGCCCCGAAAGTTGCCTCCAGCTACCCACTTCGGTGGGCCCAGGCTGTGGCAACATATAAATGCCACACACACACACAGCACTTACACCAGTCGCATTTGGTGTATTTTCGAGATCTATACCGCGGTTTGTTTGGACAAACCGATTACTTTGATCATGCCTGAAGTCCGGGTAGATCAACGGGTCGAAAAGCTCGAGGAGTTGATCCACATTTGTCGAGTGGATGCTGCAGAAGCCACCGCTTCTATCACGTCCGATGAGGAGAAGATCAAGAAACATATTCTGAACACCCACGGAAGTTTCAATCAGGTGAACGAGATTGTACAAGAAAAATTGTGGACCGAACTCATCAAGATCAAATCAACTCCAGACACTCTGGCGTTCCGCCATTCTTCCTCCAGGCTCGACCCTCCCGTGTCCAGAACGAATCGCTCATCCCATGAAGGCTGCCACGTGCAGTGAACACCAAGATCAGGGGAAGCTGGTCTTTGTGACCTGGATGGGAACGAGGATCCCATGTGCTGCTTGGAGTCCGACTCATGAAGTCGGACATTTTGCGTCTTAAGTTCTTTAAGCCTTCCAATTCTTGTGCAACTTTAGACTCAGGAGTTTTGATCACGATTCCTGGCTTTAGTTTTCTGAGCTAATTCGAAGGGTCCCTGAGCCGCTGATGAAATTTCCCAGTTATTCTCGTTCAAGGGTGGCGCGGAGATTCTTGCAGTGGAACTGATTTCTCGAAAAATATGAGCAAGTCATCATCGGTGGTTCACTCCTCATGCTATTTTGAGACCACGCTCTCTACAAAGGTAGGTTGAGCGAAGCGTCTGGAATTTGCTGCCAAAAACGCGGCCAGTGGTTGGAGAGACTATGGCTAGACTGGCTAGACTGGCTAGAGACTGGCTAGACTGGCTAGACTGGCTAGACTGGCTAGACCTGAGTGACTGTGCTTCATTGACCGTTGCGATGTGGTTCTTGCCCCTAGAGGAGAGATGGGTGGGATAATGTCAGATGGGTGTTCCATGCGGGCAGCTGTGCTCTCCCTGGGAAGAGTGCACAGGCTCGTCCGTTTTTGCGCAGAGTCTGCACAGAAATTCTGGACGCTGCATCAACTGGCTGATGTATAGAATGCTCAAGCTGTATGTCGCATCCAGCTGCATCAACCCAAACTGCATCAACTGTGATTGTTTTGAGTCTACACCTGTAAACCGTTGAGTGTCGAGACACCACCGCTGTGTGTCCCAGGGCCAACGTGGCCAACGCCAGACATAGGCGGGTGGCCGTTCTCTGCTGGTGGCCGGCTCCAAGACATAGACCCCACTGTTCTTCGGAGAGCGCCAGGACACTGATCGGCAATGGGTGAGCGCCTCAGTTTGCAGTTCTGGGTCCTCAGAGCTCTGCAGCTTTGTCTCAAGAGGCACGCAGGGAGGAGTTTCATGTGGCCCTGCGATTGAGGTAGCTACAGGCAGGAACCTGGCATGTCCATCACAGGTGGCGAGAGGCCTGTGCAGAAGACTTGGTTTGAGCCCGATGGTGAAGTGGGTCCAAAACGCCCATGGACCCTCTGGCTTTCTGGACCCAGCAGAGCATCCCGTGCCCTAAATGCAGGCAAAATGGTCGGTCCCACAAATTTCAACCCATCTGATGCTTTTGGGGTGAGGTTTTGACCAGAACCAGACTTGACAGTTAGCTATGGGATCAGTTTTCTTCACCTGGATCTTCCCAGTGACCTTTTGATCCACTGGTTTGAGGTCACTTAGGCTTGCAAAAGGTCACTTAGGGACTCCAAAAAGGTCACTGGGAAGGTCCTGGCAGAGAGTTGATCGTTCGCAAAGCGCAACGCGAGGCGCAGCAGCAGTAGCTACAGCGATCCGCGCTTTGGGAGGAGAACATGTCGTTGGAGAACCCCCCCCGACTCATCGAAACGAAGAGGGCCATCGTTCGAGGCCTTTTCTGAACGAACCACACAGGCCGTTTGAAGTGGAGAGCTTGGCAGGACTTCGCAAAAAAGCAGGAAAGGCCTCCTGGGGCAGGGAAGCTTGGCCAGGTGAAGATAGGTGAAGAGAAGGAAGAGACAGCAAGTGACTCTGCCCACCTAAGAAGGCCCTTGGAGCAATGTGTTGGTGAAAGCCGATAGCAGCTTCGTACATGGTGCCCATGCTGTCTTGGCTCAAGCCCGCAACGAATTGCGGGCTAAAAACCTAAAAATCGCATAACCCCCAAAAGCCTAAACAGCTCTACTGCCTAAGCCACTTGGCGCAAGCAGAAGTCAGTTTGCATGGTACCTGAGTCTTGTTTGGCTTGACTGCAGCAGAGGCCTCCAAATTCTGCAACTCGCAGAATACTTCAGGAGCATTTGAGGAGTGTCTGACTCTTGTTGTGTCCAGCTATGCTTCCCAAATCGTTCCTCCGAACAAGCACTTCTGACATGTGCCTCAGGACAAGAGCCCTCTATTCACTTTCTTCAGGATGGCCGGAGTGCCGCAATTCGCCTCTTTGTACGTGGGAGATTTACACCCCGATGTCACCGAGGCCGTTTCGGGTTCAGCCCCGTCGTTTCGCTCGAAACCGAGCAACCGAGAGACCTGTGCGTCGCACAAATCATGGAACATCCGCCAGTCACCTGGCTGGACGCGTCGCTCCACTTTCGCGTCGCTCGTCGCGTCGTGACTTTGACTGCTCGACGCGTCGTGAAGACGCTCGAACCAACCGGCCCTCCCTTCGTTCTCGCCCCGGGACCGGCCCAGGGACCGGGATCCGGCGGACCGGGACCGGTGACAGGCCATGCTCTACGAGATCTTCAACTCGGTGGGGCCTGTGGCCTCGATCCGTGTTTGTCGAGACACCGTCACCCGCAAGCCCGGAGACTCGAGGTGGGTGAACGGGGTGGCATGGGGTGTCATGGGGTGACCCGTTTTCTTTTTTGGGTTCTGTGAGACGGCGGAGTTGGGTCTCTTTCTTTTCTGGAGGTGAGGGTGAGACTTTGGTGCATGAGATTGAGGATTGTGTTGTCTTGGAAGTGATGATCCTGAGGTCACTGGGCTATGGCTATGTCAATTTTCACAGTGTCTCTGACGCGGAGCGTGCCCTGGATACCCTGAATTACTCAGCTATCAAGGTTGGTGACTCAGCGGCTGCCGCCCCGTACTGAGTCTGGAGATGGGGAACCGAGCGCCAGTTTCAAGACTTCGGCGTCAGATTGGGAACATAAACTGAGCCAAACTTAAGAAACACACTTAGCCAGATTCTTGGTGTGTCTTTGTCCATCTCTATTTGCTTCGGTTTATGCACGTGTTTCAGTTGCAAGAGCTTGTTTCGATGCGCAGGGGCGTGCCTGCCGCATCATGTGGAGTCAGAGGTGGGCAGCAGTTTTTCTCACGCATCACGTGAAAATCCGCCCTCTCCGCACCAGGGATCCCAGCTTGCGCAAGAGTGGTTTGGGTAATGTGTTCGTGAAGAACCTTGACAAAGCTATTGACAACAAGGCGGCTCGGGTGTTTCGCCCTCAATTTTTCTTTGCAGAATGGATTTCTTTGGGAGCTTTCCGGCGTCGACTTGTTCGCAGGCTTTGTATGATACTTTCAGCCTTTTCGGCAACATCCTCTCCTGCAAGGCTCTTTGCTTAGCAAGACGTCATCAGTGAAAACGAAGTCAAAATAGGGAGACCGCAGCATGGTCTCCCTGTTTTGTGCCCTTTCAACGGCCCAGAATGGTGGATACATGGCCTGCCAGGTGGCCTGTGATGCCGCTGGCAAGTCATGTGGTCGGCCGGCCCGGATGGGATGGAGGGTGAGCCGGACCCGGAGCCGGAGCCGGATGGGAGCCGTGGTGCGGACATGTGTTGTATTAGGAGACATGGAAGCAAGAAAGGACATGCCCCACTTGAATAATAATCAATAGACATACCGTGATAGACCGAAACAATGCATGGGGTTTTGAGCGGTGATAGACCTGGCAAGTCTTGGAGTCTTGAGAGATGAACGACGTGAGGACCACTGTTCTGGGAAAAAGCCGAGGGATCAACCAAACTCAAATTAAAAGGAAGAGAGGTTTCTGGATCCATTGCAGAAAGTCTGTTCACATTACCATGGTGTCAGACGGGAAACTGATGCCCTGATAATAGCAAAGTCAGAGTCGATCCCAGAAGAGTGGAGTGGCTTATCAGCGGCTGGAAGAGTGGGCTTATATAATCAGCGCAAGTTTCCAGGACCAAAAGATGCAATGCTTTCGTTCGAAAGATCAAGAAAGCTACAATGAGTTTTGTGCAAAGTCTACCGTCCAGAAAACACTCCTTTCACTCCGTGCACGGTTAGCTGCTGAGGTTATGGTTTCGTGCATTATGAGACAGAAGAGGCTGCGCAGCAAGCAATTGAGCGTTTGTGCCCTAGCTTTTTGCGCAGTACTTCTGCACAGGCAGAATCAAGGGATGTCGAGTTCAGGATGTCGATCAGTCACCTGAGGAGTTAATGGAATGCAGATTGGCGAGCAGACTGTGAACGTCAGCAGGTTCTTGAAGCACAATGAGCGCGACCGGCCTGTCATCCAGTTCCTTGGGCTAGACTTGGGACTTGGGGGAGCTTCAGCAGGTTCGCCGCTTGTCCTGAGGAACTTCACCAACCTGTACATCAAGAACTTCCCGGCAGAGTGGGATGAGGAGAAGATCAAGACAGTGCTGTCTGAGGAGAGGGATCCAAACATGAATCCCTGAATCACTCGAAAGCTGTGACCGATCGGAGAAGGCAATATGGGTTTTGGGGAGCCCAAGCAACTTGTTCATCCTTACGACTAGGGTCACTGGGCCTTTTGGGAGAGACAACCACATGAAGTGCCTTTTTCGTGATTTATACACACACACACACACTTTTTTTTTAAAATAATCTTAAGTGTCATGAAGCCTAGTCTACTAGTCTATTCTATGATTGAACAGTCCCTGTGAGGCTGGTCCCATCACTTCCTCACACTTCGTCGAGGATGCTAAGGGCCGCAGGCCCGCGTGTGTGGAAGCCGGTCGCGACGCCGAGCAACCGAGCCGGTCGCCTCGCCCCGACGGTTTCGGAGCATTCTTTGGATGGGCCTTCCAGGTTTGCCTTCGTGAACTTTGAAAGCTCCGACACCGCAAAGAAGGCACGCCGGAATGCGCATGCGCGCGCGGATGTGCGCGCTTCACGCCGAGCGCAAGCGTAAGAGCAAGCGCAAGTTCCACTTCGTCCCCCTGGAAGGAATGGATGACCAAAACCCAGTGGGACAAGGGGGTGTCTAGGTGTCTTGAATAATTCCAAAACCCAATGGAGAGGGTTTCAGAAGGGAGAAGGCCAACAGCGGTCTAGGGACCAGGTAGAGTTAGTTTTGGACAACCTCAAGTGACGTTCCAAGTTCAAAGTCTTCCTTTCCAAACTTCCTGGTGGAACACCGAACTCCTCCTGCTCCCGCGAGGCCGTTGAATTGTTCCATCAAAAGGATGTCCGCTCGGAGGTGGGAGTAGCAGTCAGGGGGAGGATGGTGACGGGCTTCCGGTGTCAGATCAGACGGGCGAACCAGGGGAGTTTCTTCTTCTTTGGTTATGCGATCATGATGGGTTTTTGGTCTTCTTCTTTGAGGAGCAGAAGGAAGCTGACAAGGAGAAAGAGGAAGAAGAGAAGGACAAGGCCGCCGAGCAATCATACCGAGCAAAGGTCGCAAGTGCAGTCGGCCGGCTTTGTCTTTTCCCACCAGACCCTGCGTCCATGCATAGTAGTCTCTAATACATAGAAACGCTAGCCAGCTTATCAAGGTAAATGGACTTTCGACTAATTTGAGGATCGCAAGCTAAGGGGGTTTTGACCACCTTTTTGCTTGGTCACCAAGGACCTTGGAAGCTCCAACCTAGTAGCGATGGCCTCCAACCTAGTAGCGATGGCCTCCACCAGTCGTCACCCCTGTGGGTTTCCTTTGGATTCCCTTCGTCCCCGTCTTCTGCGCTGTCCTTCGCGTCCACTGAATCCCCCTGGGCTCAGCGCTAGGAGATCAAGAGCTACTTGCTATATGTCCAGCCCTGCTCTCAGAGATGAGCCAGGAAGTCCAACCTTGGCAAACAGAAAAGCTCGGACTATGTCCACGTCCAACTAGCCTCAAGATGATATGTCCAATCCTCATGACAAAGTACCAACCAGCTTACTTTGTATCTCAAATCTGAGTCATCTCTTTTTGTTTGCCAGGCGTGCCCAATCCAAGACGGAGCGTGCCATGGAGCTGAAAGAGAAAATGCCACAGAAGGCAGCCGTCCGCAGTGGGGTGCAGCTGCACGCTAAGCCGCAGCTGTTGCAAAACAGCGCGCAAACCGACATGAAGATTTTGCGCTCCCTGCAGGAGCGCCCCGTTCCCAACAGTCGATTTGCAGCATGCTCAGATGCCACAGTCTTTCAGTCTTCCACCGTCAGAAACCTTTCGGAGTCAAGGAATCTCAGAGTGTTTTCACCTCCAAGAACCCTGAAGCCAGCCTCAGGCTGGTGTCAACCTCTACATCAAGAACTTGGACGAAGACACCGATGATGATTCCCTCAAGGTCCAAACTCTTCCGGTTCATCCAAAGGTGAGTGACGTGTCGACACAGGCGCTGTTCGAGGAGTTTGGCACGATCACATCAGTGGCTGCAATGAAGGCGCTGTGTGTTCGATCGTTCGACATTCCCAGCGCTAGCTTTTATTTGAAAAGCTGAGCCAGGAAGACAATGGAAAGTGCAAAGGGTTTGGCTTCGTTTGCTTCTCATCGCCAGATGAAGCAACCAAGGTCCGTTTTGCTGTTGTCCCTTGTCAAGTTCTGGCACCTCTATTCAACAGTGTGCACTGGGCAGGCTGTGACTGAGATGCACCTCAAAGTGGTGAAAGGCAAGCCCTTGTATGCGCTGGCCTCACAAACGCTCAAACTGCAACGGTTCACTGCAAGTAATGACCCGGGCAAAGCTCGGATCACGGGGGTTTCACGTCAATTCAGGTGGGACTGGCAGAGAAGCGCGAGGTGCACCGTCTTTACGCTTTCTGAGCTGCCAGTGGAGCCCGTTTGCACACCGCGTGGCGTGGGGGGTTCCCCCTCCCCACTGCCCAGGCTCGTGCCGAGCGTCTCCGACAACGCTACTCGCCCAGTGCCGAGAAAGGCCGGGAACCAGCGGAGGTTGAAGGAGAACGGAACGGCAGCCATGTACGATCCGTTGGTCCCATGGACGCTTCTTGTTTTGAGCGTGTAGCAAAAAAAAAAGGGAGAACTGGAAGAAGGACACATCGACCAACACCCATGGGTTGGAGACCTCTCTATTAAACTATTGCATACCCTTCTGCCATTGATCTGCAGGTGGCATGGGCAAAGGCCGATCTCCTTCCGTTCGGATTGAGTTGTCGGCGCCAATCGACTGATCACGTGCTGATCAGCATAACAGCCGATGTAGCTGGCCGATGGTTGCTGGCTCAAAGCACCACTCTATGGGATTTCACTCGGTCTAAAGCATTTCTTTTTTCGAGCCACTTACTCATAAGACTTTCTACAGCAACTTTGCTTAGGTGCTGTGACATAGGAGGTTTCATGGCGATTTGCTTTGTAGCTGTGCATCTTTTTCCCTTGCCGCAAAACCGCTTGAATTTGCTGCGCAGGTATGGGCAAAGGCCGGGAGTCATCGGTGTGATGATGCACTCTCATTTCGCTCCGACCGTGCGCTCGTCACCGCTCATGAGCTGCTCCACCCGTTGGAGGCAAAGGAAAGAAAGGTGGAGGCATGCAGATGTACGGCCAGCAAGGAGGTGCAGCGTCCCACGAGCATCGGTGAGTGGAGATCTTCATGATAAAACAAATGGCTCTGGAATGCAGGCTGTGGAATGCAGCAAGTCTACCCGCAGGGCTCATAGAAATCCGCCAGTTTTCCAGTCTCTTCGGGTATTTCTTCGGTCCTTGGTTTCTTCGGGGCTTTCCATCCCCAACTGTTGACAGAGGGTGTTTATGATGAACCATCCCAGGCTGTAAAACCTCCCAGAACGCTTGTCTTTACCGGTCGACCAAAGGCTACGCAGCACGTGGAATGCTGAGGATGGGCATGGGCCAGATGGGCATGGGCCAGATGGGCAAGGGCAATGGACCACAGGGCATGATGGGTGGCCCACAGATGGGCATGATGGGAAAGGGAATGCAGGCGGGGCAGGGAGAGATGCTGAGCGAAGTTTTTTGGCGATGTAGGTGTCCCAACAATTTTCAAACCTAACATTCAGCAATATAAGTAAAATTCAGAGGTATGCTGTATGTCAATGTATGTCTTGAAGATCCACAGTCGAACATGAAAAAACTTCCAAGTTCAGGACTTGTTCTTCTTGATGCCTGGAATCTCTCATCATCTCTTTACGGAACCCTGATGTGCTTTACGGAACCCCTGCGGCCCCATGCCACACGCCGTTGCGGCTTCAGTGCGTTCACGCCCGTTGTGGTGCGACGCCCCAGGGTGGCATGCCGATGGGACCCATGGGTGGCATGGGCAAGGGAATGCCGCCAGCCATGGGCGGTGGTGGCAAGGGCATGATGGGCCCGTCCCTCGGCGTGAGACGTCATGAGTTGAAGAGGTCCGCACCCGATGGTCTGGGAGAAAGAGGTCTGCGAGGATTTCGATCAAATGGAAGGCTAAGACCTCCTGACTGGGGCCTGGTCGAGTTCAGTCATTTTGCCTTCAGGAAGCGCCTCGCATAGCTTGTTTGTAGGAAGGCAATCAAACAAGCCAGCTGGATTTCACCTCAGCTGGCCGGCCTGCCCGCCCGGTCGCGCGGCCCGTGGTTGGTGTGAAGCGATGCGTTCGTATTTTTCGCGATGCGGTGGTTCTTCGACTTAACCGAGGATGCCTGGTATGCAGGGGGGAATGAACCCCATGGGACCAATGGGCATGAAGGGCTTTATGATGCGCCCCCCGATGCAGCCAATGCCAATGATGCGCCCAGGCAGGAGGACCTTTGCAGACGGAGTTTTGGACGAAAGCTGAACACCTGCCTAGAATCAGACTCCTTTGATCGAGTTCATTGGCTTAGTATGACGCCTTTGACGTCCATCTCAGGAGACCCCCAACACTGCCTACTCCTCCAAACCGATGCCTTCCCAGAGCCCAGTTACGGAGTCTCACAGCAGCAGCCACCAGGGGCGTCTCGTCGCTTCGTCCCGCCATCTGGGAGGCATGCCGATGCAGCCCATGCAGCCGCAAGGTGCGCGCCCCAACCCCGGCGCCCCCAACCAGCCTTCGGGTCCGACGCCAGGCGGACGGACCGACCCGGTGGGGGATGGAGGACGGAGGATGTGTGCGGGGCTTTAGGAACTGTACCTTCAAGAGAGAGCTCCTCATAGAGGGAGTCCGTTTAGGGTTCTGAATAGAGCCCCGCAGAGCCACAGGCACTTGGGTTTACTTGGTTTTCGAAGTTCGATGTCAGCCAGGCTCCAACCAGCCCCTCACGCCGGCTGGCCTGTCTGCAGCTCCTCCCGCGGTGCAAAAGCAGATCATTGGAGAAAGGCCCTCCTCAGGGCAAAGGAATGTACATTGTTGGTCAACACAAAAACAGACCAGCCAGAATGGTTTGACATCTCTATTTGGGGGCTCTGTTAAACTTAATCAAAAGTCTACTTTACTGGAAACAGCCCGTGTCATCCAAACCTTCAGTTCATGTCAGGCTTTCGATAGTATATAATAAGTAATAACCCATGGGCTTAGATGAAACGACATGTATCATGACCAAAAAATGATGGGCCACAAAGCCCGTTGCCATCAGGCTCTATCCGCAAGTTGCCAAACAGCAGCCCGAGCTTGCTGGCAAAATTACCGGCAAGATCCTTAGTCCAGATCTGCAGTTTCAAGGCAAGTGAGTCTATTTCAACCTCTTGCATCAGCCTTGGTGCTTCTTTGCTGCAAAGGAATGATGCTCGAGTCGGGTCCTGAGTTTGACCAGCGCTGCTTGTTGCATGTCTTTCAACCTTTTTCTGTGTTGCCATCTCTCTATTCTTGTGCACTCACGTGCGTGTGCGACGTGTGCACTCACGTGCCAAGTTCACTGCAGTTCATCTCACCTCTATCCACTGCACCCCGAGGATGGACAATTCCGAATTGATTTCTTTGCTTGACTCCGAGTCACAGCTCAAGTTAAAGGCCCACACCGGGCTATTTGCGAAAGAGCGCCCCCCTTCCCCCCCCCTGAGCCCGCCCGCCCGTGGTGGGACCGGCCGGTGCGGGTGCCGACCCATCGGCGGAAGCTGGGTGTCCGGCTGGGTGCTCGGGATGAATCAAACTCCCTACCCCCCGAGGTAGAAGAGGTTCAACTTGCGCGCTCGTGGACCGCAAGTTCATGCATCCAAATGTGTTTTTTTAGATATCATCAAGAGTCTACATGATGTCTCAAGTGTCATTCACCAAGACCTCCAGGGTTCCTAACACTGTGCGGTTCCTGCGTGTGCCTCACAGGTGGACGAGGCATTGCGCGTGCTTGAGCAGGCCAAGTGAAGCATACAGGCGCTTGGGGGACGATGCATAGTGGGTCTTCGGTTTGGGTTGGACCCAAAGGGGTAGGACCCACAGCCCGGCAACATGATTTTGGACCAAAGAGATCAGCTTTCGGACCAAGTGGCCCATCTGGGAGGCTTTCGAACAAATGCTTCCCTTCTGGTGGCCGCGGCGAGGCGCAAAACCGCACGACAGGAAGCCAGACAACAGACGATGTCTTGGTTGTCACAGTCTTTCTTGGTGCCCTTGCTGCGCCCGGAGGTATGTGGCCGAGGCGATTCCCAAAAGCTACGGCATCGCGTGTTTGGCCAGTTGCTTTCAATGCTCTAGATGCAGGCAGATGATGGTGTTTTGGAGCCAATGCCAGACTTTTCAGGCAAATGGTTTGGTGTTTTCCGATCCAAGCCTGCATTCAGCCAGAATATACAGTGCCAGAAGAGGAGCGAAGTGAAGGAGGTTCTTTCGTCTTTCATTTTTTGCCAGTTTTGATGCGCTGTCGCCAGTTCGACTCCTCTGAGTAGTCTTGTTGAGAGCCAACATCCACCCGTCTCATTTCTATCTCTCTTGCCGAAAGATTGGAGCACTTTCCCAATCAATCCTGATGTGATCGCCGGCCTCCGATCTCAACAAGAATGGCTTTTCTAGGTGGAGAATGAGCAGCGATGCTCCATGTGCACCTGTACTATACCTTTCGACGGCTGGCAGTATTGAAATATGAGCAAAAGGTCGTTCTTCGAGGTCGTTCTTGCAATTTTTGCCTGTTTTGCCACATGTTTGAGGTTTTTTTGTAGGCTGGGAACAAGTCTCGGAAACTAGGTACTGGTTTGAGACATACAGACATACATAATAGACTCGTTAGACATGCCCAGCACTCCCGGTTGACACAAAAAAGGCAGAGCTCAGCTCAGAGATTAGGAGACCTGTCTTGTGCAGAGATTCTAGCCGTCTGAGGCTATCAAACCTGGGCAACACCTGTTTTATGAATGCAGCCTTGCAGTGCCTATCGTCCATCCCCTCAGATTTTCAGAAACAATTCTTCCGAGTTGGGAGGACGGAAAGGATTTCTTCGGTTCGGCGTTTCGGCGTTTTTGGTCCATTGGTCACGGTCCGGTTTTACTGGACTTAGTGGGGTGTAGGGGCTCGACCAAGTCCAATAGTCCACTAGTTTGCCTCTGCACATTTTGGTGAGACTTGGAGCCTGAGGCACTCGCATGGAATGCAGAAGTACTTTCGCCACTGTCCGCACGCCTTTTCGTTGGGAGCCTTGAGATGGTTCAAGGAGGTCTTTCACATTGGGGATATCCCCTCATTTTCCTAGTCCTAGCTTTTCATGTAAGTTTTTGCATGGCGAACCCTTCAGTGCTGTCTTTGAGTGGGTTTCTTGTGGGGACCAATGCCCAGGCTTTCCAGTGTTTCATGGCCTTGTAGTTTCACCGGCTTCCTCCAAGGTCCAAAGCTCAAGGCCCTCGGCAAAAGCTTTTGATGGCTTTTGCACATTGGTTCGAGCAAGACTGGGGCCACTTGGAGTAGACTGGGGCCATCTCTCCGTGATTGGTTCGAGTCATCGACATCTGCAGACTCTCGCCGCTCCGTTGCATGTGGTTGCACCGAGGTGCCAATGTGTGGCGCACTTACTCGTTCGATCCGTCGAACGGACACAGAAGACCTGCATTCAAACGACAAAAAACCACCTTATAGTGTGTGTTGGAGGTGTTTTTTTCAGAGAGATGTGGCATTTTCCATAACTCAAGTTCCACATCCTCTCCTTTCAAGAAACACATAGGAGTATCACATGCCACACCTGACCTCGTCTCCCACACGCCTCGCGCCAGACGGCCCGAGGTCCGCGCCCTACCACCGACCGGAGGACGTGCTCCGAGCGGTGCAGCAGCCCCTCGGAACCGGGTGGACCGGTGGGACCCGCGGCCGAGCGACAGTCGGGGGCGAAGGAGCTCGGGTGAAGAACATGTGAAGAAACATGAACAATGTGTTGTCAATACACGGAGCTGGGTCTTGAACTGGGGGCGGTAGCCACCTGACACGAGCCAACATGGAAGGCTAAGAGGAACGCTTTGCAAGCATTTTTTGCCTTCAGAATGTTCCCCTGAAAGCATGTGTGGGCGTATCTCCAAAAACTCAGAGCGAGGCACCCACAGGTTGTATAGTTCCATATATCATATATCATATAAACAAACATATGCGTTTTATATGTCTACTTTTAACACCATGGCCAAAGGCGTGCCCTCATGCGTGCCCTCATGCGGCTGAGGCTGAATCCCACGTTTCAAGGCTACGCACAGCAAGACTCCCAGGACTTGGGACGCATGGGTCTTTGACAGCCCGATCAGATCTCATTGAATCAAAGAACACCTAAATTATATAAGTCCCCTGACCTATCTATCATTATTCAATCTATCAGATATCATTTTGACCGATCTATCTTCTATCTGATAATGCAACTATCTATTTCTATCTGATTCTATCTATTTGATTATATATCATTATTTCTCCTGGTGCATCGCCTGGGGCACGACATTTGCAGGAGTTTTTGCGATGTGTCTTGGACAACATCCACGAAGAGTTAAGAAGGGAGGTGTCTGGCACTAAGAGAGAGCTTCGCTGTATGCCTTTGAGCTGCTGCCTTGTAAACCTGCATAGCTCAAGAGCTGGACCAGGACCAGCTTTCGGACCGCCTCGTTGCTTTGGACGAAACGAAACGGTCTCATGGAACGCCTACCCAGATGCAGAGCAAAGCAAAACATCTGCCTGGATGAGCGATGCATATCCAGAAGCCCCAAACGAACGAGCAGGGTGATCCATTCTTCAACGAGAGTAGAAAAAGACATCGTTCATCTTTTATTCACAGAAAGTAGGAATGCAATGTTATATGGGAACATGTTCAAGGATAGTGGCTTCATTTCTGGATTCTCGACTTGACCCTTGCGGCAGCAATCCTGGAGATCCTGTAGATACACCCTCAAGACCAGTGCCAACAAAGGGACCACGGACGCCAACCATGGAGCACACAGCAGACACATCCAATTCTTTTGTGAAGCTACTTTGCCAAGCCGCTGACTCGTCTCGTTGCGCAGCTGGTTGCAGTTGCTGTTATACCAGTCAATGTGTTTATCTCGTATCTCCAGAAGTTTGATGTAACCTGCAGAAGCAAGTGTTTCTGTCCAGTCCACACGAAGAGTCGTGTTGATCTATTTGATTATGGGTCCAGTTCAGGAAAGAGGAAGTCGAGGACGAAAGTCACTCGGGCGAGAATGGCCCCAGCCTCAGCAACCGACATTGAGTCGGAGGGGTGCTCGCGGGGTTGTTACGGAAAGTGAATTGTTTACTTCTGGACGCAGCAGAAAAAGAGCAATGTTGAAGTCTTTGAGAGAAGCCAGATGTTGCTGATCCGAGATGTGTTTCTGTAGGCCTAGTGTGCGCAGGTCTTGTGGGTGTGCAGGGCGTTGGTTGGTGATTTCCCAGGCAATGCTTGTCATGATGCTCGATCAGATCGGCGGAGTGCAGGTGAGTCTTTTGTGCCTGTGCGCCCAGCCAGTCGACCGGCCGACGGCACATGTCCCATCTGCAGGAAATACTGCTTCCACTGACTTCCTACCTTCTGGAGGTTCGGGGGCTCAGCGAACGAACGAGCGCCCCCGTAAAGGAGGTAACGAGGCGGTTCGCCTTTCCGTCCACAAGCTGGACAAAGGCATCCGATTCCTGAAATCGTTTCCATCGCGCCGAAAGCTGCGTTGGCACCCGAAAGCTGCGTCCGAACGATGAAGCGAGGCAAAGTGCTGGAACGGAGCTCTTCAGGCTCTTCAACCTCACAGCACCTGATGCAGCCCGGCAACCCGCAGTTGCGCGCAACTAGCGGCAGTGGAGAAGGGGCGGAAAACAAACGTTGGTTCATTCTGGTCTTCAGGATGTTTCCAGTCTTTTTGGATGTTTTTTCCAGAAGTTCTGCGACGTTCCGTGGGTGTGCACGGTGAAAAAGCTGAGGTTTTGCCAAGTGCCAGAAAGCAACACAGATATGGGGGAGATCAGGTTCGAGCCGATCTGTCTTTTTTTCCCCACTGAAGAAGAACCAGTCCAACCAACCAAACGAGCCTAAGCGATGCCGGAGGCTTTCTGAGACTTCCGCTGGCAACAGGCCCTTTGCCGTGTTCGAATCTTTTGGTTCCGCAGCGTTGGTCGTGCGTGGCAGGCCAGTGGCAGAAAGCGCTGAAGAAGTGGAGCAAGCCTCGTCAGGTCTCAACCTTATGATCGCCGTTTCCGGCGCATCCTGTGCACCCGGCGGCCCTGGCTGGGTCATGACTGGCTGCCTTCTCTTCCGAACCTGTTCCAGGGGGTTCGGAACGCCGGCGGTTCGGTCTCCCTAGGTAGTTTGACATACCCACCATTCCCCATGGACATAAGGTCCAACAAGAGCTCTTAAAAGGATACACACCCATCTCATGGTTTGGCTTCCCTTTCTCATTCCTTTCTCCGTCAGGCCCAAACATGGCATCTGCGGGGGAAAGCTCTGAAGGCCGGTCCGGCTGGGCAGTTGTTGTGGGGGTGAGTTAGATCAGAGGGCTTTTGCGTCTCAGAATAACACAACAAACCATTAACCAAGCCACAGAGTGCTTCGAACACAGCTCGCCAACCCACTCAAAGTGGGCATCGCTCTGCTTGCTCGGGTGACTCAAATGGGACATAGACCTGTTCCAAGGGGCCATCGCTCCTGTCCCAAACATCCAGCCGCCACACCGACGAGAGGTTGGGTGCGACCTCTGTAGTGACCCCCATGGACATCTACAGCCGGTCATGGCTGCAGGTCATGACCTACATGGTGGACCACCCCACATGTGAAATCTAGAAGCTCTTCATCTCTTTCTTTTTGCAAATGGTTCTTACATGGCCCGGCCTCAAGCTCTTTTGGAAGCCTGCAAAAGCCAAGCTCCAGTTGAGGCCTTGAGTGAGATGGATTTGAGGTCTTGGGCATTCTTGGGCCTATCCCAAAGCCGCCAAAGACCCGATCAGGTGGAGCGGCGAGCTCCAAGAAAATACACCGAACGCACTTCGTTGGGGGTTCTCAGCACTCGTCCATGGAATGTGGTAACTGTTGAGGCTGGGAAAGTGAAACGACACAGATTCTCGAACATAAGTGGTGTACATGAGTCACGGAAAACGGGGAGGACAGAGGTGTTTGGTTCTGTTTTGTGGAGTGTTCTTTTCATCTTGTCCTAAGGAGTCAATAATCTCCGAACTCTTCCAGGGAAAGGTGGTGTCTTGTGTCCTCGCCTTATCGAGCAGACCGGCTTGTCGAGCATGCAGTCGGGTCCCGGCAGGGAGTTGGTGAGCATTTCTGAGGTTCGTTGCACTCAATGCAACCAGACATCGAGGAGATGGGACGGAACAATTTACTTTCGCAGTCGCTTGTTTCTTGACATGTGGCCTTTTCGAAGGACGTCAGAAGCCGTCTATGATGTCTCTGCCGGCTTCTCAGCATCTGTAGCGTTTTAAGTTTCGCATGCCTTCTGTGATGCAGATCAGTGGACTGTACAGAAACAGGTACCTATACCCAATGCCAATGAGCCTGCCAGTCCCCTTAGTGCTGACGGCTCACCGGTGCCCATGGCTCAGTCCGAAGACACAGCGTTCGTTCGGTGCGCACCAGGGGGTGGTGACCGTCCGAAGCGCGAACCCGCTGAGGTCGTTGCCCGCAGGCTCTCCAGGCCACTTGCAGCCTCAGCCGGGGACCAGCTGGGTTGTTTCTGGCTGGAAAATCCCTTCCTACTCAGTTGGGGGGGTGAAAACGTGTGAAAACATCCCCCCAAGATGTAAAGAAGAGTTGAACGGTTTGTAGTCTTCAGGGTCCAGGAATTTTACCTTGCAATGATTGTTGGGAGGGTCACGACATAGTACGACAGGTTCCTTGGAGACATTTACATATGCTTCTACTTCTGATTAGAATCCGATTCAAGAGATTTGATGCAAAAGATCATGATTGGCTCTAGGTTGATGGATTCTCTAGGATTCTCTCCTCCCTTGTCATCCCTAGGGTCCCTCACCCTCTTCTTCCCAGGTCTGCAGGTTTACGGAGTTCCTCCTGGTCTGGTGTGCTCGGTGGACTTGGGAAGGCTCGGTGGACTTGCTCGCATGGCGAAACAAGCGGGATCAGATCAGGACAGTATATAGATTCGCTTTGGAAGACTTCAGCAGATCTGAGAGATGGTTTTCCAGGTTGATCGGACCGACAAGTCGTTTCACCATCTCGGAATTTCTGGCGCTCCGGCCATTGAGGTGAAAAGCTGGTTTTACGCCCGATGCCTGGTGTCTCTCGCCGGTCAACGCGAAACGCACGCACGCTCGCTCCGGTCGTTAGACGGTCGAAGACTTGAGGATAAAGGCGTGAGCCTCAACGACTGCCTTCGGCGCTATTGCGCACCCGAATACCTCAGTGGCAAGGAGTGAACGATGGCTTCGACACTTTGAACCCTCCAGACGGAGCAATGTCCAAAGGCTACAGTTCCTTTTTGTTTTTTTTTTCAAGATTTGGCTGTCACCAGGACCAGTACTATTGCGAGCGCTGCAAAAAGAAGAATGATTGCGAGAAGCGAATGGTCTTCAAGGACCGATGAATCATCAGGCACTGGTTCATTGCTCAAATCAGCAAGGCCCTAGGCCATCCCAGGCCCCCATGCTCGGCTGGTCTAAGCACCACCGGCAGATCCGGCTCTGTTGGTCTAAGCACCGGCAGATCCGGCGGCAAGAAGGAGCTTCCGGAGATCTTGTGCATTCACCTCAAGCGTTTCCGATTTGACAACGCTTATGGCTGGTCCGAGCCTTTAGTAAACTTTAGGGTGAGTGGGTCCGGGAGGTTTTTCATCCGCACCTTGGTGCTTTCGACCTTTCAACCCTCACGCGCAACCTGAGGTTTGCAGGATCCAAGAACTCCAGGGTCGTCAACTTTCCAGTGGCAGCCACCCGAGTGGACCTGCGGAACCAACGGAACCCACGGAACCGGGTCCGGCCTTGGTTTGAAATCGGTTCAGAACCGTGCTGAGACCAGTCATTTGGACATGTCGCAGTTTATGGAGGAGGTTCCCAACCAGTGACGGCCTTAGGAAGCGCAGGAGCTAATGGGCAAAACATCCCGGCTGTGTGGAACATCACCCATGATCACTCATGCACTTCTTTTGGCAGTGCGTGTCACAAAAAGTAATACTCATAGACGTCCAGAGTTATGTTCAGCCGCAAGATGATGCCTGCCACCAAGGCCAACTGAATATAGGCCGCTCTCCAAGCTGTTCGCATTGGCTGACTCGAAAACAAAAAAGAGTCTCTTCCCTTTGCGGAGGCTCATTGGCCTGATTCAGCACATTGGCTCCATGGGTGGGGGCCACTACATCGCTTACTGCCAGCACAAGAGAAAGCCTCAGGTGCCAGTGCCGGCTGCCGCCAGTCCCTCGCTTCCCTCCATCTTCGGAGTAGATGCCTTTCACAGACCCGGGTCCTCGTAGTTCTTGGCATTCAGACTGTACTTGTCGTGGAAAGACGACTGTTGGGGCGGTGCCACACCACTCAGACTTCACTCCAGCGGTTTTTTTCAGTGATTTGCGAAGTATTTGGCGGTGTGTTGGACAGGACTGGTACGAGTTTGACGATGTGCAAGTCAATCCTGTCATGCCCGAGCAGGCGACGTGGCGACGACCCGAACCGAACTGTCGACCCTGGCGGTTTCGATGCTCCGTCGAAAAGATCGTCGTTCCGTTGAAGTGGTCGGAGCATTGGGTTACCAACAAGTTTTGACAGACATGTTGATGGATACAACTGAGGATAAGGGAATCAAGGAGGATATATATATTTCTTTTTTTTTTGGTGGTGGCAACAATAGCCGTGTAAGTCCTTTTGACAAGGCTGTGGAAGAAGGTGGCGACGGAGGGTTGGAAGTGACAGGATGAACCGCACAGTTTGGTGTGCTAGAAACTTTGCTGGTCCATGGTTGTCCATGCTTCCGGCAGAATTCCAGCAGAAGTGAACCTGTTCAGTTAAGGCCCCTTACGGGCCGTTTTTGGGGGATCCACGGGCAGTGAGCATAGTGAGGAGAGTCTCGCCTCACGAGGCTTTTGATTCCTTTTGTCCGCCCAGGTTGAGCGGGCGGAACCCTATGTGCTGTTTTACCAGCGCGCCGCAGTCTCAGCCTTTTAGCGGCCAATCCTTTTGGCAGTTGGAGTGGTCTCCAAATAGATCGAAGGCGAACTGATGCAGACCTGTTGAACATCGTATTGGAGATACTGGACCACTGATTTGACGTGACAATATTTGGACCTCCTATCTCTAGATGGACATTTTCTCGACATCTTGGATGTCTTTGAAGGCTTCATGTTTGTCTCTACAACAATAACATGCATGCACCGGACACATGTACTGGTGTAGTTTAGTATGTAGTGGACACCAGTTGGATCACTTGATCCATTTCAGGCGCTGTGTCTGACGAGGTACCGTCCAAAAAAGCCAAGCATGATCGGCAGATCTTCAAGAATGACATGCGAGCAATGCAGGAGAATTTAAGTTTGAGTTTGCGTGGATGGACAGATTTCTGATGTGTGTGTGTGTGTCACCTCCTGTTCGAAGGAGAATGATCACACCTTTTAAGCATGTACAGAAATGCATGGGGCCAGTACATGACATCACAACGCTGGCCAGCTAGTGGTGTCATGGGAAGCGGTCAGAGACGTCTGACTGTGTACCTGCCTTTTTAACTCTTGCTTTCGAATGATGTAAACAATACTGTTTAGGCTGACTTTTCCACCTTTCCGTTCTGTACATGGCCGTTGACAGGTTCAGATATCAGCGCTCTAGTCGGGTAATGCGGTAACTAGTCGTAAAGTGCTACCCTCACTGGGAAGTCATCTCTGATATAGCTCTTGCGAGCATGGATCTAAGTGTGTGGGGTTCAACCTCCAATTGGTTCTCTTAGTGTGGCTCTTTGTGTGTATCCTCTTTCTTCTTCCTCCTCCTCCTCTCTTGTTTCTCTTGTATTTTGTAGCAACTATTTTTTTCTCATTTTCTGCCTCTCTCTCTATTACAATGTATATATATATATATAAACTATGTTGTGTTGTCTTTCATTTCCAAGAGACATTGGTGTTCTTCTATTGGTTCTTCGTATGCGTTCGTCAGGAAAAGATCAATCAGCACATCGCCAACGCAGCATCCTCGAAAGCCAGGACGACCCACCATGAAGCTGCGCCTTTCCCCATGAGGACCTTGTTGTGGAGATGTCGGCACAGGACAGACAGATCTGGGCGTGAAAAGGCCGCCCTGGAGATGAACCGACAGGCCGCCTCGCGTGGCACCGGCGGCCAAAGCATCGGCCAAAGCATCGGCTCCCGCTTGAAAGCGACGCGAACAGCTGCGTGGGCCGAAGCGTCCTCGGGGTCTTCGTTCAAAACACATATTTTGGAAGGGCGTGGTGCAATTTGTAGCACTCGAGGCCTGAAACATCTTGTTGGCAGTGTTTGTTCTCTGGAGAAGCCATGGCCATGAGCAATGAAGTGTTCTGGAATTGAGGAGACGCCAAACAGATTAAGTGACACAGTGGTTCAGGGGCGATTTCATTGTTGCAGCTAAGAAATTTATGAAGTTTGATGTGCTTGGTTCGTATAGCATTTCAGGTTCAGGTTCGGTTTGTTTGTTCAGTTTGGAACATCGGAAGGCCTTGCAAGAGGAGATCCGCAATCACGGCCCTGCTCTGCTGAGCTCTGAGCGCTAGACGCTTGCACAGCTTGCAGCTTGCACACAGCGAAGACGTGGAAGGCACGACCATCTGGTCGTGTCGCATCGGCGAAAACCCAGGCGAAACCTCTACAAATCTCCACCCGCCGAATTGGAGGTGGCCTTTGTCTCCAAGCATTGGCCAGCTGCTGAGGGGTCTTTCGCGCCGCTATGGAGCTTCTTTCGCTTCGCACGCCCGCGTGTGTGCGAAAGGCGTTTGGTCGTCGATTTGTGGATGAAAAAGGGGATGGACTCATCTACCACGCATGTTTTCCAAAAGGAATTGACTCAGCTTGTTTCCCAAGTGAAGTCCTCTAAGGTTGCAAATCGAAGACTCGAAGGCAGACGACGATATGGAAACGACGGTTCCAAGGTATGTGAGATTGACCACGATGAGTGAACCGGGTCCATTGGACAATAAAGAGCACCTTGGAAGGCAAACAGAGAGGCACAAAGCTACAGGTGATTCACATCACCGGTAGAGGGGTCCGCCGGATTGCAGGGCCCGGCGGATTACCAACCGCGCACCAAGTGTCCGCATCGGCTGTGCAGAGTTTGGGGTGATCCACGCCGTTTTGAGCACGGTTCCTTTTTGATCATGCCTGGAGCGCGGTACATGGATTTGCTTGGAGGGAGGCATCACCACAGGCGCTTTTGGGACTTTTGGGTGTCACTCCGCGTGGCAACGTCACCCTTTGCAAGCCCAAACGAACCATGTCAGGTCGCTTTCGGATCTGTTCACTTCGCTGCTCGCAAGGTACTTATGTCCCCATGGGCAGCTGGGCTACTCTTCAGCACACTCCCCAGACGGACTGGATGCCATCGCTACGGCGTTCTTTTCAGATGGGGCTGATGTATGTTCCACTTCTATGAGCCGTGCAGTGTGTGAATGTGTGTGACACTGGCAAACATGCCCAGCTCTTTCACTGCTCTAACTGGTATCGTGGACGACCGATTCTGCCAGGCAGAGTTGGCCTCGGAGCCCTTCTTCCCCATCTCCAAGCAGCTCTCGAAGTCCTTAATAGGCACGAGATGCCCACGGACGTGGCGATTCTTTTCATCTCCTCACTGGAGGGGTGAAAACTGTAGCCCTGAGCGGATGGAAGAGAACTTCTACACCCAGGAGTTCAATAGGGAGTCGGAAGTCCCAAGTAATTATATAACATCAAATACTGCAGGATTTTCATGGATTTGTCCCTCAACATTAGCTTTGGTGCCACCACCGCAACCTTCATCCTGTGGAGCATCTTTGCAGATTCCTATCACTGATCATGTTGAATGAACGTGTGGGACCGTGCGAAACGTCCGCCCGGGACACGATGTGATGTCAAGAAACCGAGAGGTATCTACGGCGGTGGTCCAGAGATCACTTCTTTGGACAACTGCAAGAAGCCGGGGCACAAGAAACGGCGCAGACGCGACGTGCGAGGACGAAGACGAGGACGTCGAATTTTTTCGCTGGTCGTGGTGGTTTCTGGTTGCATGATTTATCAGTGATGATCAATGATGGCTCAGGTGCCAAATACGCATCGCTGCATACAACTTGCGCAAGCAAGCCGAGCAGCTTGGCCGCAGATTTGGGCCGCCGAGCGGGTTTGGGTAGGTTCTCTTCAATGTCCGGCTTGGGGTTTTACAGGTGGATGGCATGGCCCCTTTGGAGCACCATTTTCTGTTGCAAACAGGGGGTGAACTCCGCTTTGGAACCGAGCCGTCGGAGTGCAGTACTCCATTTGGACTCAGTCTGGGGTCCTACCTTGGTAGCCCTCCCAGACGGCGCTGCGCGGTTTTCGGGAGCCAGGTATGAGATGGTCACGAGGTATGACACGAAGGAGAACTCCTGGTGGATGGGAGTTGTCACTCCTGAGACCACGCCCGAGACGTTGGGGTTTCTTAGCCGGGAAACGAAGCCCGGGGGATCGGAGCCTTTTGCTTCCAAAGCGGCACAGCCGTGAATTCGGAGGAAGTGCTGAAGAGTTTCATTCGCTCATTGTTTCGGAAAGACATCAGACATCCCTCTGAAAGCCTGTTTGGTGGAGCTCTATGAAAAAAAATGACCCTCTGTCTACAGGACACGGGAGATGGGCAAGGATGGTACCTCGTGAATGCCGAGTGGGCCGCTCGCTCAGACAGCGGTGCATGTGGGTCACCTGTGGGTAACCTGCGGGTTGAAACTGCCGACCTTACAGAACTTAAGAGGGAACACTGTGACATAGTGGTGGTGCATAGTGGGTCCGGGGTTTTGACCCTTCGATTGCAGCATTTGGGTCCTTCTCTCCTGTTTTTCTCACAATGGATGTCGGTATATTGATGACTGGAGTTCCTCTACAGACGGACGGATGGACGGACAGAGCGAGATAGATAGATAGATTCGTTTCACCTTGCCCAAGTGGTCTGTGTTTTCTCCCAACATGAGCAGAATGGAGAATCTCCCAGGTGTGTGTTTCCTGCTACAAGGTATGGTTCTCTGGTTCCCAGATCGATGTCGCCATTCGTGAGGTGAACAATTGGAAGCGCTATGTGAAGGGCGAACCCGTCAGCAACTTTTGGGACCGGTGAGCAACCGTGGAACACAACACGCGCTTCTTTTGGTTTTTAGTCCTATTTTTGTTCCTTTTTTCCGCAGAAGCGTGAGTGGACATAACGTGGGGGTCGAGCACGATCGACAACATGCATTGAAGGCCTGGGAGTCTGCTTTTCTTTTCCTATTTTTTGATCGGTTTGTACGTGATTTTAACTGTTGACTGACACTCCTCCCTGGCGTTGTGGGCCTACAACTGGTGGGTTGGCTGACACTCCTCTTCCTCCTCCCTTGCGAGGAGATGTGTGCGCCGGGCCCCATCACCAACGACCGTTTGTTCGAGAAGGAGGATCCCACGAAGTTACGGGCCAATCTCAGGCGAAACGCCGCGATCATGGTGGCGCGATCATTTTTGGCGCGTGCCACGCGTGACGTGTTCTTTTTTCTCGGAAGGCGCCGTGAATCGCCGGTGACACCGCCGGCGACACGGCCGGCGACACCGCTTGTTCAAGCACGCGACCGGGCAGGCTCAAGTTGGACTACATTGGAGTGAATGCGTGCGTTTGGTGGTCCCGGCCCAGTTGACTCGTCCTGTGCCTTCCGTTGGGTCACAACTGCCCATCCCAATTTGAGATGGGCCAGGGATGGTCATAGGTTGCTATAGGGTTTGCGTTTGTAGGTCTTGGGTCATAGCGTGACTTGGAGCTCGCTCAATCGATATGTTCATGGTGGTCCACTCCAGGTGGTTATTCATGCATGTCCATGGTGGTGGTCCAGCTATTGTTCGCGACGACTTGGAGATCTACTCGCAGGACGAGCTCGCGAGATCGGATGCAAACCTCGCATTCGTGACGCACGCGAGAGTGTCGCGTCAGTCACACGGGTCATGGGTAAAGAAGAAACCGAGTGCATCAACTTACGCAACCCCAACACCTCCACAATCTTGATCCATCTTGCACGTTGCTTTCAATGGGCGGCTCCTCATGTTTAAAAAACACATCGACAAGGTCCGACAAGTCTCCAATCTAATCCATCTAAATGCATCCGACAATGCCTTATGTCTTTGTTGCTCCTCGTTTCGGGGACGGAGTTGGATCCCATCATCTCGGTCCCTCTCTTTGCTTCGTCCTTCTCGCTCCTGCGTGGTGCAGGAGTTGCCCTTGGAGACGGAGTTGGTGCCGAATGAGCTCCGGCCAAAGGAAGGCGCGGGAGTCTTCGCCGGTCCTTCACTGGCCTCGGCGTTGAGAGGGCGACGGAGGGTTGAGAGTAGCGGGGAAGAGCTGGAGAAATGAAGCATATCTTGAGGGGTTTTGGGCACGAAGAGTGAGTCGTTTTGTGATGTTTTGTATAGCTGGGTGATGTGTGAGTCTTTTTCCAAGTAGATTGCACCTCACAGACGTCGTTGAAAGGCTGTGCTAGCGAACGTACAGGCGATGACTTCTCCATGCGCACTTCGCGGGAATTTGTCGATGAGTGTCACGGTGATGAGGAGTCCCTTGGCAGATCTCCAGTCAGACTCACACCCAAAGCCATCGCAAAACCCAATGATTTCATGATCATTTGGCCGAAGAACGGAACATGCTTGCAGAAGTGTACAGCTTTTTTTAGCTGAGGCTGTACAAGAGGCTGTACCCAGGCAGGGGTGGCTATGAGGGACGCCCCGACAAGCTGCAACAAATTCCAGACCTGTCCAAACCCTTTGACGCTCGATGTGCATTATTCGCCCTTTTGTTGGAGACTGGAGCTTTCTGAGTGTCAGGCAATGCCGAAGCACCGCCAGAACCCAGAGGCACGCCAGGAGCCACGGACAGTTGTCAACCGACCCGTGGAACAAGGTGGTTTGCTTAGGCAGACCCGGCCGCTGAGACCTGCCAGCTGTAAAACTTGGTCTTTTGTCTTTTGACTGTGCGCGGTTTGGAGGACATGCAGATGACGCTGAGGATGTAGAGTTGCCACAGGCAAGCGGACCGACCAGAGACAAGGTCAGGATAGATGCTCACGTGAAGAGGTCACTCTAACTGGTGTGTGTGTGTAACCCTTGGAATCATAGGGATCCTTTTGGATTTTTCAGGTTTGCCTTTCTGTTTTGTTTCACAGCAGGGGGTGCAAGCAGCCCATCCAGTCTTGCACCAACGAAGACACTGGATGTGTGCTGGTGAAATCAATCCGGGACGCCGGATTGACGTACCTGCTTGAAGAGAAACCTACGTAGAGCACAAGCTGTCTACTTCGTTGTTTCCTTCAGTAAAGGGCTACTGCAGCGGCGATGAACTTGGCTTTTCTGCACGTACGTCGTCACCTTGTCGTCCGCTCGATCGGTGTTTTCTTTTAGAGTTGCTGGCCACCTGAAACCTTTGGGACCTCCGCTGGATGGACCTCCTCTTCGGTTTTAGGTTTCCTTACCTGTACCCTTAGGAATTGGAACCCTAGGCCGGCGCGTGGCACCGCTTTCAGTCCCGTATGCATATCCATAAGTGTGTGTGTGTGTGTGGCCCCTTGTAGTCACAGGGACCCTCTTGGATTGTTTCTGATGGGTTCTATTTTGAAGCAGGGGCACTGAGCACTCCTTGGCAAACTCAGTGCAACGAAGCTATGCCTTGGAGTGGGACGCGCGGACTGATCATCCGTGTGTACCTGCAGTTGTACTTGAGACACTTCATCATGGTCCCTGCTTCTAACTAGAACAAGACGACCAGCCTTTGCATCGGTTCATCATCGGCAGATGTGCATTGTCGCTTTGGATGTGTCGATTTGGAGTTGGAGGCCACGTAGGCTTTGAGAGGTTTGGAACCCCATACTTTACCTGTCCTGGTTTCTTAGGTTTCTACTTAGGCTGGCGTGTGGCACCGCTTTTAGTTCAGTACACCCAATCATAAGTGTGTGTGACACTGGATCATCATATATATATATTATATATTTATTTTTTACCATTAACGATATTCAAGAGCCGCTGAGGGTTGATGTTGCCCTCTGCACTAGGCTCTCCCTGTTAACGTTTTTGGTGTGTACAGAGTTGTGCCACTAGCAATGTCGAGTGCTCCTTTTGCAACGTCACAGGCACCCACAGAAGCCAGGCAGGCCACTCGCAGACTTTGCAAAGGGCATTTTTGAGAGGATCCACGTTAGAGCCTGAAAACATCGCACGGCACTGGTCAAGGATTGGGCGTGTCAAAGCAAACACTCAGAAGGGCGTGTCACGAGCTTTCAGCTGCGGAGTCCATTTTTCTTCAGGTTCTTGTGCTCGTGTTTGGGAGAGACATAATTCTCCAAATAGCCTAATGTATATTATCTTGAATAGCCTTTACATCTAAGCTATAGATTAAGGATCTATTCTTGTGACAGGAGTTCCCATTTCTCGTCGCTTTTGGGGTGCCTCTCCGAGATCGCTTCGACCGCTTCGTGGTGCCAGGGAGGCCGTCTCGGTGTCGCCGGAAGAGGGTGAGGAAGGTGGGCGGCCGCGAGTCTTTGCGAGGGCAGTGCCGTGTGGCGGCCGTGAGGACAGAGGAGATCCGGGAAGGTACGGTACGGACGGTGGTTCAATCTAGTGGGTTCAGCATGGATGGGTTATACTCCAAATTGGACTCTATGGGTTCCACATGCACAGGGTTCAGACCCATCTTTGGATCAATGTTGGCTTGTGCTTTCCAGTTTCGAGACACACTTATATAATCTTATATACGCACTTTTCACCATGTCCCACACGCGCCGCTCTCGTTGTCGGAGCGACGCACGTTTTCGGCGGGGCGACGCCGTGTCCCACGGCGAGGCGCGACGCCCGCCTCACCGGCGACGGCGGCGACCGAGAAGGCCGAGGTGTCGAACGAGGTGTCGATGGACACGTCGCCGAACGGCTCGCGGCCCCGCCCGTGGGCGGCCTCAAAGGGATGCTGCTATGAGTTCCCGGCTCTTTCGGAGCCTCCAGATGTGTGGTTAGCTGGTTTGGTGTTGTATCGCACTTAGTGAGGTCTGGCCAAGACTCTCCAACTTCTGTGTAGCCTGGGGCCTGGAGCTTTCGGAGAGTTTCATTGAACAGAGCTGCCAGATTGAATCTTCTGAGGCAACAACCCTGAAGGGCTTAGCTGTGCAGTTCGCAATATTTTCATTACGCTATAGCTTTCATCCCGCCCGCCGCTTGCTGCGCTTGGGCTTGTAGAATGGACAAGTCGACATGGCAGCGGAGCCTGGAGTAGAGTCTCGTGGGTCGTAGTTGGAGTCCATACATGTCTCAAACCGAGGGGAGCCCCCAACCAGCCGTTCTGCCTTCATCGAAATTTGTGATTTCTTTTGGGGGTTCCCCCTAGTTTGAGACAGACAACTCATTGTGGTGCCTGTTTGTTGCCATATGTATATATATATATACACATCTATTTATATATTTTTGTTCGGGATGAAATTGGTTCGGAAGAATACCTTAGTCAAGCCCAGAAGACTCACCAGCAGGGTGCGTTCACAGAATAGATTCTCGACATTTCCAATCACATCAAGCACTCCTTAAAAGAGCGCATACACGTGAATCGAGCATGTCAAAGAGCTGTTTTGTATGCACAGATGCCATGACTCAATTCTTTTGCCACAGGGAGAGGCATCTCCTGATGGCAGTGTGCATATTTCCCTTCTCCAAGGGGTCCCATATCCGCAAGGCGGGTGAACAGACACAGCAGGCCTTTGCGAAAACCGTGCGAGAGACGGTGCAAGCTCGAGTTGAAGGAATCTCAAGTGCTTAAGGCTTTCAGGAGAGATGTTACTTTTTGCTGTGGCCCTGCTTGTGCTCCAGACAAATTAGATAAGGTTTTCTTGTGAAGAATCTGCACTCATTGAGTTTTTCATGAATTCTTTCAGCCGACAGGACGTTTCTGCAACTCATTGATCACAGATAAGTGTTTTGGTGAAGCCTTTCAAGTAGTCCCTAGCACACCTCAACTGGCTCCATTTGCATGCTGCTGCAATGGAGGCATGGAACTCCTTAGTCAACCGTCGCAAAAAATGGTCACATTGATGGTTCGGGGTGAGTAGTTCTTCGGTCCGGGGTCAAACCCAGCCTGGACCTTGCTGATCGAGGTCCCCAAAGGGAAAGACATGTTGAAGGGGATTCGCTTTTTGATCAGACGACCTTCAGAACTTTGCCTGACTTTGCATGGGAGGCCACTGGACGTTGATCCCTTGGAATTGCAGGTTTGTGTACAGTCATGTTTGTGTCATGTGGCTTCTCTTTCAGAGCACGGCTTCTGGACTGACCAAGGCCCAACCCCCCCAGGGCATAGTCGAGACATGAACTCAAGGCTGTCGGCCGGAGCAGCTGTGGAGGGAACTGATTTTGGAAGAGATGATGCATAATGAATTTACTTCGCACACTCACTTTAAAGATCCAAGAAAGGCGGAAGAACACCAGGAGTGAAGCATTGCAGCTATGTCTACTGTGAACACCCCTGGACTCCCCAAACTTGGGGTGTCTATCAATAGCCCCTTAGAGCTTGCCCATGAACCATCCTGGTATTTTCCTGTTTTCTCAGTGGAATCGTGGATTTCAGACTCTTGATGACCTGGCAGTCCCACAAGGATCAGGAAGCACAAAGTGGTGGAAGGAGTTCAAGGATCCCAAGAAAAAGGTTCTTGATTGGCACGTTACAAATGAATCAAGATACCTCACATGCCATCTGGAAAAAAGGCTCAGAACAGGCGCGTAAAGCCCTCTTAAAGAGGAACCTTGTTGGAACACCTTCCTTTTGGACCCCCCCCCCGGGGCTGAAAGGCCTCGCCCAACGCGGCGGGTGCTCCTCAAGCGAAAGGCGACCCGCGACCGTGGCACCGGGGCACCGGAAGTGGAATCACCGGAGGGAACACGGCCAGGGACTCTTGGACATGGGTGTTTTCTTTTCTTTTTTTGGGAACACCAGGGCAGATTCTCTATCAAAGACGGGATCATCAAAGATGGACATCTTGCGCGAACTGGGAGATACCATACTCTGTGACACTGGCATATCCTCTCTGTGTGGTTAGAGTGCTCAAGAGTAGGACGACAGCAGGGCACCTCGTTGTGCAAGTGAGTGGGAGCCAGAGGGCCTTGTCTTTGGAGGGCCCTCTGCCAGAGGGCCTCCTGCAAGGTGTCCAATGCGACCTTCGAGAAGCACAAGGCAGCAGAAAGCAGCTGTGCCATTTTGAGATTGGCCTTTTTGCATCGTGAGTCTAGTGAGTTTAAATGTGTCTTGACATTGATTATTGATTACTAATTACCCTGGCAGCAGCAAAAGAAATCAAGATTCGACTAAGCCAGCCTGCAACAAACAAGCAAAGCAAGCAAAAGAAAGAAAGACCAAGCCTTCCCCAAAACGCCCCAACACCTTCGTGCTGGATCCGCAAGTAAACACAAAAAGACACCTTCGTGTTGGATCGAATGAGTTCTGCCGTGGGCAGGAGCAGATGGAGCGTTTAGGCCTGGATCCCTCCGACCCACTCCCTCCGCAATCGGAGAGCCTGGACGCGGAGGCGCGAGGAGTGAGACCGGTGAGACCCGCGTCCGATCGCTCCGGGCATCGTCGCGATGCCCGAAATGCTCCGTTCGTAGCGAACCTTGCTCTAGTAGCGATGCCAGGAGCCCCGTTCGTAGCTTCTTGCTCCTAGTAGCGATGCCCCTTGCACCTAGCAGTAAGGCCAGGAGCCCCTAGTAGCGTCCTTGCTAGTAGTAGCACCGAGCAGTTGAAAAGGATTGAGGATCCTGTCTTGTTCAAGAGGGGGATCCTGACTCCGAAAATCGCCTGGGTCCCTTGAGTTCATTTCTGGATGTCGCTGGTGTTTTCCTAGCTTGGTGGATGTTGGTAAAGTTCCTCGAAGTGATAGGGGGTTGAAGCATGTTGAAGCAAGATCACTTGAGACCCGCTGATCTTCTTTAGTCACTTGGATGAAATCAGCTTCCTTTTCTGGTCTAATTATAATTCACAGCTTTTCCCTGTTTGGAGTGATACGAGTGTGAGCCCAGATGGCCAGATGCGCAGGATGACCCAGATGTGACTGAGGGCGACATGCCCGTGCCTGAAGCTGTGTGTTGAGCCACTACAGCTTCGATGTCTTTTGGCCGGGGCCAAGCCATAGCTGCCATAGCTCATTGCTTGCTTTAATAGCTTAAATAACTCATGAGGTTTTTTTAAGGCTCCTAAGCACCTTCGTTGGCAAAAAGACACCTTCAGCAACTTTTAAACTTTAGACTTTTAGTATACCCCTCAAAAAGCAACACCACTGTGGTAACTACTGGGCCACTCTGATGCAGGGGGTGCGAGCACGTGGTCCAAGGCCCTTGCCGGCACAGGGCATTTTCTCTTCTCCTCAAGTCATGAGACCCTCTCCATCCACCCAGGCGAGAGCGGGTCAAGTAGAGCTTGAGCGACTCTGGGCCCCCCAAATCGGGTATCCATTCTGAAAATTGGTGAAGTCAATTGAGGTCTTTGGCCAATTTGGTTCCCAATTCTGATGGGTTCTCCCCATTCTTAGTCACCTTTAGGCCAAAGGGAGAACATGGGAGAACCCATCAACAAGCCTGAATTGCCTGGGAGATCTTTGATCACTTCGGCCACGAACAAGACGCTCGGGTTCAAAACGACGGGACGCTTGGGTCGGAATCTTCCGTCCGGGGTCTGGTTTTGGGGGTCTCGTGCAATTCGGAGCGATTCGCTGTCCTTCGCAGGTGATGCAAGCAGCATCCAAGGTGCCTTGCCGTTTTCTCTTTTTCTCGTTCCGATTCCTTTGGTGCTTGCGGTCTGACGGTCCAAGTCTGGGTGATGCAAGAGGCAAAGATTTGCGTCAAATGTTGTGACCGACTGCAGACGGAGAAGTTTTTTGCGCTCAGCTGCTTTTGGAAGTCTTGAAACGCCAGGGCAAAGAAAGGAAGAGTGTGAGCCTCAAGACCAGGACCTTGGAGGAGCAGATCATCGCAGGAAGGCGGCCACCACTCTTTTTTCTTGACAGACATTGGAGGGCAGGCAAACGGAGGAACGGAGCTGAAGGGTTGTAAGAGTTGGTTTGATCGTGTCATATCCTTGGCACCCCATGTAATCAGCTGAAACAGTACACAGTTTCCATGATGATCGTTGCACTGCTGATCGTTGCAGTGGTAACACTTGCATTGCACGTTCGTCTGGAGTCCAGATGAGTCTCGAGTTTGCACCGTTCGCTCGCTTTGAGTCCTATCACCAGCTTGTTGCACTGCGGACGAATCGGCGCAGATGCCGTTGCTTTCACCTTCGACTGGTCCAGGTACGAGAGGGCGCTGGACCGGTGGGGACAACAGCTGGAAGCACAGCGAGAGTTGGCTCCATTGGGGTGGGGCTGCGGGAGGAGCCGCAGTGGCGCAGCTTCGGAAAATGTCTCTAAGGCAGCAAGAATGGGAGAAATTTCGTCATGTAGCTTCCAAGAAGACCTGCACTTAGTTGATCACATGGCAACAGGATTCTCTTCGCTGCCTAACTTGACGGTCGCATGTCTTGGTGATTGAACAGAAAAGACTGAGGACTGGCCGAGATAAGGAGGAGTGTTGCACCTAGCAACAATCTTCCAAAAGCAGATTGGATGTCTTTCAAGAAGGACAACGTATGACAAAGCTGTATTTTCCCGGCACGAAGCAGCTTTTTCGGTTTGAGGCTGGTGGTGACAAGAGCAGAGGAGCATCGAGAACGTTTGGAGGTTTCGAGAACGTTTGCAAACTCCTTTTGCTGTTTTAAGCCTTTTCTGTTTAAAAGAAACAATATTTTGCTCGGATTTTTCGATCGCCTCTTCTCTGGTCTTTTGGCTTCTCACCCACGACTCCTCCATTTTATCGGCTCGCCGTTTCACCTGGAGCAACACGGCTCGCCTCTCCGAAAGACGCTGGACAGGTGATGGAACTTCTGGACCGGGTGCCAGCCTTGGCGCAGCGGCGTCGCGTGGGTAAACCGTAGCAGTCTACCCGTTAGGGCAGGAGGTCTTTGCTCTCCAAAGTGCGGCAGCTGTCATCTTTCTCTTCGCGACACGTGCTGCATAAGACACCTGTCGCATTTGGAACGCCACACCGGCAGGCCACGCCAGACGAGATCAAGGGTGGTGGAAGCGACCTTAGGGGATCAAAGTGTGTTTCAGACTCCAGGGGATGTGTAGACTCCAGAGAGGGAGAGCCAGAGAGCCCTGGCTGGGTAGACTGGTCTATTTTCCGAACCTGGAAAGGGGGTCGAAGTGGGAGGTCTGAGGTCGACCTATTTGAGCCACATGGCCCAAGTGTGAAAGATCGATTTTACCAGC